CTAACATCATGTCTGTTTGTACAATGCATTAGACAACAGAGAAGAGAGAATAAGAGTCTTTTAATATTTGACTATGATCAATAAATAATAATCAGTTTGTGAATTCACAGACTGAAATTAAGGCCTCAAACAACCATGTTTTCCCAGTAACCACACTGACTCAAGTTCTCAAGCAACAGCTAAAGACATCTCATACTCAAGCTTTGTGTGTTGCTGACAAACATTTTCTACAATACTCCAGGGTGGAAACAATGTGGCTTCTAGTTATTATGTGAAAAATAAATCCTTTGGGTAAGGGTAGGGTCGACTTTCCTAATCTTTTGAACGTAGTCAACCTAAATCAGGAAGTTATGACATGCCAGCTTGTTACTTTTCCACTGTGTAAATACTTGGCAACTGTATTAGCAGAAAGTTTGCTGTAAACAATGTGGCTTATCATGAATGATTAACATGATTAACGTTGCAGGGAGATGGTCAGCACCTCAGCAGTTGCTAATTAAGTCATTATATCGTGATGGCACAAACAATAAAAGCTTTTAAAAAAAACTTGAAAACTGAAACGTTCAAGAGGACCTAAGTGTTTTTGTTTTTTTAAAACCAGAACCAGAAAAAACTCTGGGAAGTTACTGGTCAGAGCCAAGATTTTTTTTTTTAAATCAAATTACCTGGCAGAGCTGCTACACCTGTGTTTACTGTTTAAATTTGTGAGCTTTAGACTTCACTCACACAAGACTTGACACTGGTTGGTGACTTCCTGAACCCCAGTTTCACACAAGAGACTGACAGCAACCTTCAGAAACCACTTGCCAAACCAGTCCTGGAATGCAACCAGCAGTTGCCAGGGGATCACAGTGTGGTCTGTAGGCTTGTTGACTGATGCTTTAGCAATCAGTTTCAGAGCAACTGCCACCACCTACAACTGGATAGGGAATACACATGTTTCCTTCATGACCTGTGGTTGCCAGATGATCAGTAAAGCGCCATTTCTATGAGGTACTCATCAACATTGGTTCCTAGGTGGAAGTACCTGGTACCAGGTACTTTTTTAGCATCCTACGTTTGCTCAGTTGAGCTGAAAATATGACGTCAGACTGTATTCCACTGATTGACCAAGGTATGACGCCACTGGATGAGTCATGAGCGACACCTTCACAAGAATCAAACCCACCATTTTTGCAACCCGGCAACAAATGAAATGGTTAGGCACAAACCTGCACTGTGGTCCAACAACAAGGTGCATCCATCGGCTTACCATCACCTCATGCTGTGTCACACACAAATGACATCGTGAGACTTGAGCCACGTTGCTATAACAACAGCACCCATACTGAACATACATGATGTAAAAGAAGACGCTGTCCATCCACTCCTAAGGTGCACTGTCAGAAACAACTTTGAGCACAGAGCAATTCAACATATTTAACAAAAGATGATTTTCAGCCTCCGTATACAGTCAGAGGCTGTTTATTGCCTGTTGTGCCTCAGTGCATTGTCACAGCATTTAACAAAAAGAAGGGCTTACAGAATTGATGCTCTCACAAGCTGCAAACAATCAACCGTCCCACTGGAGGCACAAAACCATCAAACAAAGCTAGCTCAACAGCCAGCTAGCCGAGAGCCTCTTTCTCACTCAAAGGCCTCCCACACTCTTGTTGACCACCACAGAAATGACTTGCCCCCACCCAACCCAACCACTCACTCACTAGATGAGATGTTCTGTATAGATTTAGCGTTAAAATGTTTTGCTCACAAAGGCCTACCTTTTGATGGCTCTGTGCGCTTAGGCAGATCCAATGTGTCGTAGCTTTTGTCATTCTCACCGTTTTTTCTGCCTGGAGGAGAGGAAGGAAACGAGGACGTCAGAGTCAGACAACTGGATATTGAAAAGAGACCCCAGGGTTATGCTGAGGATGATGCCAAAATCTTTGGACCGTAGGGGCAGAAAATGCATCTCAAACAACAAATAACGTACAAGTGTTTAAATGTACACACAGTACAGAGATGTAGCAACATGATATGTACAAACACTAAACTGCTTCCCTTCAGGAAATAATTTACATCAGTTGTCTAAATCCAGGTTCAAGGATAGAGGATTTTTTTTTGAACAAATAAAGTTAGTGTTAGTTGTCTCCTCCAAATAGTTATATATGATTTATTTAAAGAAAAGTTTATAAAAAATATTTTAAATGTAAGTCAATGGAAAATTTTATTTCTATATTTCAAGCTTGGCCTTTTATAAAGTTTTTCACATTTCAAGTCATCATTCTGTTAAAGTGACTTTATGCTGTTGTTCAGGTAAAGATGGTTTTTATTTCATTGGCTAAACAAGAAAAAGTGACATCATGGCTTCATCCAAGCGTGAAAGGTCACATGACTTTTACTACACATGGAAAAAGCTTGGCCAGCTTTGACTCCAGTGAAATGTAAATGCAGTTGTCATGGGGTCTGTGTGTGACTTCGCATGCTCCTTGCACACAGGCTAAGAGAGAGATGTCTGCAGGATTGTAAACAGTGAAAATGCTCGATTTGTATGAAAAAACGACATGAAGCCAGGCGTCAGATTCACAGAAATCCATGTCTGAATGAGGCTTTAGTGTTGCAAAACAAGATGCTGGTAAGATGGGGAGCTAGTAGCCATGGTGTCAGAATTTTCCCTCGCTGCCACCACAGCAAACAAAGAACCAGCACTGCTGTCTGAAAGCATCAAAAAAAAAGTCTGCAAGACCCAAAAAGCCCAAACATTCAAATCCGTAAAGAATCATTTACCTCTATATTTTTTGCACACTTAAATGTTCCAAATAATAGAAAACTGTAGCGCACGATCCAGGCAGCTTTAATAAAGTATTTTTTAGCTTTAATTATTGACATCCTCAGAAGTTTCAAATCACAAACGATCAAACAAATGCATAAAAAAACTGAGTGTGCAGCAGAGCTTGACATTTATGCTTAAGTTTACTAGAAAGGGGTGAAGAGTTCCAGTTGGATACTGTTAGCGGTGTTCTTCAAAGCTGTCAGGATTCATTTTATCTGGAGTCTAAAAGAATTCACACCAAAGTTCAATTTGGGGATAGATGTGCAAATTTCCATTTCAGCATCTCTGGTTCGCTGGATTAGTCAAGCTCCACTTAAGAACACTACAAAGACAGATTTGTTGTTGACTTACCGGTTTTAACACTCGTTTTACCTTTCACCTTTCTTAGAGGACTGACAAAAAAACCCAACCAACTAATTCTAACAAACTGAGGAGTTTGGGACAGGTGGAAGTCTATAATGCTCAGAGCTACGGTCGGTAGGTATGGTAAGGGAATGTGTGTGGAATGAATGAAACCCCCGATTTTCTTAAGTCCTTGGAACTTTCTCAGGTTTCTGGAGGACACCCAAAACTACTTCTAACTATATTCTACAGCCAGGGGGAAAGAACGAGGAGGTGGAGGAGGAGGAGGAGGAAGAGGTGGGGGAAGACAGGGAGAGGATGGAGACGAGGAGAGAGCTAAAATGAGAAAGGTTGAAGAGGGGGGCACTCACCTTGATTAAACCATTCCTCTATAGTTAGCCAAGGAAGCAGCAGCAATGCCAAAAAACAAAGCAGGGAGAAGAGAGAAGAGCCATGGTGAAATAGGAGTGTGCTGTGTGTGTGTGTGTGTGTGTGTGTCACGAGGCTGTGTAATACATGAGAACAGTTTTTATCAGAAAAAGGAGTCATCTGTTACTGAATAGGAAAGGTGAAAGAGAAAAGAAAACTGACAAATAAGCTAAATAAAGAGAGAAAGACTAAAGAAAGGAAACGGTGCTTTGTATAGATAGCAAGCCATTAGCAGTTCATAGATGGTCTCTGGGACCCATGGGGATAGATTTTAAGGTGTGTGGAGGGCAGTAAAAGACAGAGAAAAGTGTCAGATATAAAGAAAAATGAGAAAGGGGTTTTTAGATAGGTTAGCAAGCAAGAAAGAGAGAAAAGAATAAAAAAAAAAGGAAAAGGGAAAGATTTTAAAAAACATTAAGTATCAGCTTTAAGAGGGCAGGTGAAATACACATAAAACAGCAGAGACTGCAGCAGCATTTGCGGTGCTAAATTAAAATCACTGCGTGGGAGGGGGAGAAAAGTACTCAAAGAGATTGAAGTAAGAGCCAACAATCAGGCTGTCTATTAGCCAAAACAAAGCACGAGTGCGTGCTGATTATCATGTCATATTTTAAAACAAATGCAACACTAAACGGAAGAAGAGGCCAAACTTAGCCTACTGCTGTACAGTCTGAAGGCTGTAATCATTCACTTTGCACGTGTGTTTACACGTCGGAAAGCATCCGAGCGGTTAACTGGCTTCTTTATTAATCTCTGTACACGTTAAGCATTGTGTTGTCCTGAACCCTAAACTAATGTGGTTCTCCAAAGAGCCATTAGAAGTCAGGGGTCACTGGCTGGTAGTCACATCTCATTGGCTGACTGATTAATGGCGGCCATTACTGTTGTACAGCTGGGCGATAACGGCATCATTTAGATAACAGTCACAGGAGAACACTGATTAAGACCTCTGAAGCAACACATGCATTAAGAGCTGTTGTGTCGCTGTAACTCCTTTATTTGCACACATTTGTATTGAGAGTTAGATCATCCATGCATCTGTATCTTCTACGAACTGGATAGCTGTGATTGTTTGGTTACAGTGTTTTCATCTCCTCTGTTCATCCTCCCTCTCACCTTTGGCCTTCTTGCCTCCGAAGCAGCCAGCATCGTCTTTCTTCTTCCTTTGTGGTCCCGCTGAACCTGGGGCTTGTAGCGCCGACGGGTCCTGGTACTTTTCGGCCCCCGGCACCTCTTTGTGTACGTGATAGGACAGATTCCTCATAATACAAACACAATTCTCCACAGACTGTGAAACAAAGACGGGAAAATTACCAGCTACATTCATCACAGGAATACTGAACAGCATAAATTCATAAGAACACTACAGCAACAAGCTGCTATTAGAATGAGCTCATTCTGAATCCATGATAGTGGATGACCCGGATGTTGTCTCACCTTGTTGTCCATGTCCTTCTTCCCTACAGCTGACTGAAGAGCGTGCAGCAAAGCGTCCACCAATCCCTCACATTCCCTCAGTCTGCGCCGAGCCTCTGCCCCGTCTGAGCTCACATTTCTACAGAAACAAAGTAACACACATCAAGCTTAGGAGGCGTGCATAGACGAAGATTTGTCTGAGGAAGCGAATGAAAATTTGACCAATAGGGTTTTTTTTTTAAAATTGGAATAATCACAAGTCAATAGTTTGTGCTAAAAGTAATTATAAAATTATCCATTTCAAAATATGACACTACAGTCTCCAGAATCCCATCTCATTGACTCTGGCTGGCATCCAGTGTGAAATACCAATAAAGCAGTAAGGATACTAAATCACAGTACAACTATCCACTGAGAGCCTGCTCTAATTATAAACAGTACTCCTATAACTACTATTTATACTTTCACAAAAATTAGGAAAGGGAAGAGGGAAAGCACCGAAGGCAGTGAAAGTGTTTTTAATAGTCCTAAAGAAGTGAATATAACAAGCATACAGAGAGGATGACAATTACAGCCAGATGTCTCACTGTTCAATAAAAGTGCCATGTAAACCCATATCAGTCTTCCCCAGCCGTGTGATTTTTAGAGTTTCCATGTGACCCACGGCCTCCATCCTCTCTGTCTGCCTCAGATGTACAATGCAATAAAGCTAGACAGCTTTAGGAATAATCTTTTAAAAAAATTATTAACATAAATTTCTTTTTTTTGGTACGGGGGGAGGAGGGGGGGGCGGGCGTCACCCAGCGCCTTGAGCACAGCTCCTACAAGCACGGCAGCAGAGCTGGTGCAGTCTTCGTGTGCCTGTCTGACTGTGAAAGGGAAAGGATTTAAAGAGGGTTAAGGGATAGCAGGGACTCCCCGCTCCTCACCGGGGACTTCATTTATGAGGGCTTCCAACTCACATAATCCCATTAGCTGACCCCCAGTTAGGCCTTTGGAAGAGTGGCAGCATTGCCGAGGTAAGCAGAACTGCGCCTCTTTTTTGTGCCGTGGGGACTGAAACATGTATGAGGTCTACCGCTGCTACAGTGCTGAACGGTTCATTTTAGACTGCAAACACTGTGGAGCCATTTGGGGTTTCTGCTTTTTTCTCTCTTGTATTTTGTTAATCATTTACCTGCGTTCAACGAATTTAGTGAACTCAGGTCTCCGTGTAGTCTAGTGCTCCCCTTAGCTGGCAGTTATGGTGTTTGTCTGTCTACCAGACTCCTTCTTGTCTTGTGTTATTTGTTTCTTCCATCAGTCTCTGCAATGTGCTGCAACAAGCACATTTTAAATAAAGATTGGCTTTAGTTTGCAGGTGTCCTGCGTTTGGGTCTTTCTTTGAACTGAGCATAAAAAAAACTGCATCAGGAGATGCTTCTCTGCTCAAAAATGATTAATTTACAAGTGAAAACACCCATGCACTTTAATCCCAGGCATGTTTTTGATGTGTGTATTTAGGTAAAGCTACCATTTGTCTACTGAATCACCCTGCAGTGTACAAACTGTTAACTAATCCCTGGTTGGAGACAGTGCAGAAAGGATCGACAATCTCTACTTAACCCCATTCGTCTCCATGTATTAAAAAAAAGAGGTGTCATTTCCCCTGTACACAAATCTAGTGGCGCGCTCACCTTGGATTTATTTGACAGAAGTGAATTTGGGGGCAGACAGACACGAGGATTTATTGTCAGCTGTTTCATTTCCAGCAGTCTTTGAGGGAACAGTTGTCCTGTTGGAGGTTTATAGATGGTACATCTGTCAGTAGAGACAGTGAAGAAAGCTGCTGTTGTCTCTTTATGGACAGGTCATGTGGCGCTGTGCTATTTATGGTCTATATGTACTAGTGATTATCGAGCTGTCCTGCCTTTTACAAACTGTTACTGCTTTACAAAAACTTTCTTTTTATGTGGGAACCACAGAAATATGTTAGGCCAGGTTTGACTGCCTGCCGTTGGCATTACTCATAACTTTGCTTGCTGTGACATTTACTCACTCATATCTGTATATCTGGAAAACTGACATGCATTGCTTTAACAACTAGCACCTGTATCCATGAATACGCCCGGTGTGGATCTGTGACGCTGCCTCTCCATCCGGCACGGTCACATCACACCCGGATTTAGCCTGGTCTGTTATTGATTATTTCCTCCAACTTCCTGTCCTTCTTATTCGTTTTATTCTCTTTGATGTGGCTTCTGTGAAAAATTGACCTTCAGCATCATAGATGCTTGACGCATGAGGATGCTTTGGATATGTACAACAGCATATCTGGTGGCATCAGATGGAGTCGGAAGATAATGCAGCTGCAGTAAAATTCAGGCAACAGACATCATTCTACCAATCCTAATAGCAATGTGGCAGCAAACATATAATTTTATTGGGTTTTTACCCAAGCCAACAGCTGGTTAGTTGGTCATTTTATGACCTGAGTGCAGACTGATGGTCTGCAACTACTGGATGAATTCAAATGCATGACTTGAGATCTAGTAAACCAGGCTTTGTTTGTCTGCCACTAATCCCTTCTTCTAACTTTACCTCCCTCATCCGTTCCCATTCTCAATCCTTTTGTACCTTTGTTCTGTAATAGAGGAACTAGAGGGAACAGCTGTCACATCGTGGGTGTTTTTGTTACTGTTAGAGAAAACTGAACCCACTTCCAAAGAAACCCCAGCATGTTACAACATTCTCTTGGAATGTTGCAGTCCTGGAATGGACAGGACACCAGCGGTGGTGAGAACCTCCTAAGAATCTAAATGATTTCTATCCAGTGTAATATAACCGTTACTTGTATACACAGCTCAAATAAATTCAAGCAACACTTTAAAAACACATGAGATCTCTATGGAAAAAGATCATGCCGAAAATATCTAGACTGGGTCATGTGTCAGGAACAAAAACCCCTGTTTGATGGAAATGAAAATTACTAACCTACAGAGGGCTGAATTCAAAGACACCTTTTTTTTAAATTATGTGGCAGACTAATCTATTTTGTTGAAATTTCATCGCAGCAACTCAAAATGGTCTCAGTAGTTTCTATGTCCTGACTATGTCAGACATGTTCCTAGTCATATCATCTAGTCAGGTTGTTTTGTAGTTCTGGTAGTGCTCATCCTGTTCCTCCTCGCACAAAGGAGCAGATCCCTGTCCTGCTGATGGGTTGAGGACCTTCTACGGCCCTGTCCAGCTCTGCTGCCTGTCTCCTGGCATACACTCGATGGTCCTGAAAAAGTGCCGGAAGACACAACAAACCTTCTGGCAATGGCATGCATTGTTGCGCCATCCTGCGGAAGTTGGACTACCTGTGCAACCTCTGCATGGTCCAGGTATCACCTCATGTTGCCAGTAGTGACACTGACACTAGCCACTTCAAAACTAGAGAACAAACAGTCAGGATAGATGAAGAGTGGAAAATATCAGTGAACTCCACCTGTAAAACCATTCCTGTTTTGGGGGTTGTTTCATTGTTGCCTGTCTAGCGGACCTGTTGTTAATTTCATTAACACCAAAGCAGCTGAAAGTGATTAACAGCCCCCCTCTGCTATTTAACCGACCACATCAATATCCCACAGGTTTCACTGACTTGATGCTGTACTCTGATTAAAAAGTGTTGCTTTATTTTTTTTGAGCAGTGTATTTAAATGTCAACACGCTCAGAATTATAGGCACTCACTATGCCAAATCTGAGTTGATTGTCGTGTTTGGACGGTGATACTGTAGAACGCAGTAAAAAATACCAGAGTAAAATAATACAACAATGGAATAACATTATATAATTTGGAAAAACAAGACCATTTTCTTTTCTTTTTGATGATCAAGTGCAGTAACTGAAAACATGTAGTTCTTCAAAAACACAAGGTCTTCTATTATTAAGCAGAAAGACATGTTTTTAGGACACTGTTGCTTCTGAGCGTGCAGTGGTTCTGCAAAAATAAAAAGGACACCACAATGGGTCAGTGCCCTTATGAGAACGCTTCATTCTTAAAAGTTTTTAGCTCATCGTACGGCCTTGCGTACTCCAATTATCTGACAATTTCAGAATTCCGAAAATGTATTTTTTCTAGACCTCGGCGTGTCATATTTTACCGTTAGAAACTGAGAGAACGAGCGGGTGTGCTTTCAGAGGTCTGTCTGTCTTTCAGTCTGCACAGACCCCATCAGCTCGTCAGTGTGTATATTGTGTGTCTGCTTTATCAGATGAATTGTGGGTGTGAAGGTCGCTTAAGAGTCATGTGGTCATCGGAGGACAATAGAGCAGGAAAAGAGTGGAGCAGCACTGATGGAGATGGATGAAGACTTGGCTGACCTTTGCTATCGCTCTGCAAGGTCAGCAGAAGCATTTGGGACCATATGTGTATCCTCAGCTCTGGTATCTGTCAGGTTTATCAGTGCTGATCGTATTTCTGATTCAGTGTATGGATTGAGCTTCGTATCTAATCCTTGTTGAGATTCTTTTCATAATGCCTGAGTCTGTAAGCAAAATTTGTAGCAAGATTTAAGGTGCCAAAAACACACCCCATCAATCAATCTCGTCATTTTTTCTAAATTATTTAGGATGGGAGGGTTGACTGTAATGCAGTGACTGGCTTATTTGTCGCACTGCTTCAGCTGACATTCAGCAAAGCAGGACTTTCCAGAAAGCTGATTTCTTTTCTGTTGCCATAGAAAAAAATCACATGAGCAGAGTCCAAGTTGCAGAAAAATATGGCTACTTTTGCTTTTTCTTTTAAAAACAACATTCATGTATCAGCAACAATAAAATGTTCTTAAGTAACAAAATCAGACCCTTTGAGGCAGTCACCACATGCTGCCAGAAAAGTTGTGATACGCTTTTGCATTGATTGACTGGAAGATCAGATATATTTCCTCCATTTTTGTCTTGGTGACAGCGATTTAGAGTGCTATCTAACTTGCAGTTCCAAAATCTATTGTGTTGGGTTAAGAATCCTGCCAAGGCCAATGCTTTTGATTCATATCATTCAAAGAGCAGCTGTCATAATGCATAAATTTTCTTCCAAATTTTTAGAATGGATCAGTCCACAAAGAAGCAATTCCCTCCATGTCTTGGAAGTTACTCACTATTGTAACCAAGTTATT